TGGGCCGTCAGGCTCAGAGACCAGGTGTCTGCCTGAGAGCCCGGGCCCTCCCACTGGGGAGGGAGAGGCCCCGCCAGCCTCTGGACGTCCAGCGACCGTGTGGCATTGAGCACGATGTGGCATTGAGAACTGCCTCTCTGCGCTTCCTGCCACCCCTCTGTGGTCTTCCTGCCACCCCGCCGTGGTCTCGGACCTCCTTGGCAGATGAGGTTTCCTTGGTCTCCATGTCCAGGGCCACAGGAGGCCCCGTGGGTGAATGTCCCCTCCCAGTGGCTCCCTGCTACAGCCATCGGCAGCAGCTCCAAGGCACAAGCACCCTCAGCTGCAAGTGCCTGGATGTGGCTGGGGGCCAGAGGCCTCGAGGTCACTACTTTTCAAGTTGTCATTTTGTTCATGCATCCATTTGTTTATCCAGCCATTAATTCAGCACGCCTTACTGGTACCTGCAGTGTGCAGACCCAGTGCTGGCCAAGGGTGACCCAGAAATGTGCCAGACGTCTGTCCCCAGGTGCTTGCAGTCCTGTGGGGGAGGCAGGTGGCCGAGGCAGGTGGCTGAGGGCACAGCCAGAGCAGTGTCTCCCCTCTCCTTTCCTTCAGGTCAGGGCGCAGAGGCCTGGCAGAGGCGGGGTGGGGGAGCTGCTGCGCCCCGGTCCTCCTCCTTCTGAGGTCCAGCAGTGCTCAGAGGCGCAGGGGCTTGCTTGTTGTCCAGTCCTAGCTCTTCGAGGTGGTGACTCAACACCCAGGCCCGGAGAGGGAAGGGACTCCCCCGGGCACACAGTAAAGTCAGCAGCCAGGCCAGGACTGGGCCCTCGCCCACACCCCCGCCCCGTGTGCTTTGAAAGTGGCAGGGCCCCAAGGAAGGAAAGCTGTGCCTTCAGATGACTCACAAGCAGCCCAGTTACCCGGGTTTGTCTGGCGGGCCAAGCCGTTGGCAGGTTTTAGGGACATCAGGTGATTTTCGTCATACCTGGATGTGTCATGATCGCGTTGTCTGCTCTCCCCAAAGCCGTAGACCTTCGGCCAAGGATCTGCTCACCCGACAGAGGCCTCGGCTGCCAGAAGAGTCTGGGCGAGGCTCCCTTCCGGATTCAGCTAGTTAGGCCCGCGTAGCGCCGTCCCCCGCCCCTGGGATGGGACGCGCCAGCTGTCGGGGTAATTAAGTTTGCCGTAAAACCCACCAGTTAGACACACAAACGGCTCCTCTGCTCTTTCCTGGCCCGAGCAGTTGTGAAGGCAAGTAAATCACGCTCGGCGGCGATCACTTCAAAGGTCAGCCTTCCACTTAGAGCCGCGTTATTGGCAGGGATCGCCATAACACGGCTTGTTTCCCCGCCATTCGATTTTATGACGCCCTAATGAGTTGGGCCATTTCCATCCATCCTCACGAAACGTACAGCACAACGGCTTTCGTGCTCCTGGAGAAGTTTGTCTTGGGGGGCAGGTGGTGTGTGGGTGGGGCATACAGGGAGCTGTGCCACGGACCCCCGGCCCTTTGCTTCTCTCTGGGCCTTCTGCCGCCCCCTGGGAGAAGCTGCCTCCACAGTGGTCATGAGATAATTTGTGTGAAACCCCTGGCCAGTGGCTGGCACTTCACGGGCACTCACTGAGTGGCAGGGAGGGACCCCTCCTCCTCCATCCTCTCCTGGGTCAGGCACTTCCTGAACCCCCTTGGGGACCGAGGTGCTGCTGCTGGAGAAGGGCCGTCGTGCAGAGGCCTGCACCTGCTCACGCTCCTGTGGGGAGCACGGAAGTGCCCGGCACATGTGGGCGCCCACCAATGGCCATTCTTTACAGGCTGTTAGAGCTCCAGGGCTGCGGTGGGCCCCTCACCACCAGGGAGGAGAGGCACCTCAGTACACAGGCCACATCCAGGGACACGAGGTGGCCGGACTACTCCGCTCTTGGCATTTGCTGTCTCCGACGTCTCTGATTCCCTGCTCCGCACCTGAACTTGGGGATGGAGAGGGCTTCAGGAACGGGGGAAGGAAGGCCGTCAGGCTCCTCGTGGCCCAGGTGAATGGGGGTCTGGGGGGCTGGAGGGCAGGGTGGTTCAAGCAAGGGGAGACTGAAATGATGCTGGGGCTGGGAGGTGGGGGTGGGTCTGGAGCCATGAAGAGACTGCTCCAGAGCCATGATGGTGGGGCGTTGTTCCCTCCCCTCCCCACCTCCCCACCAAAATGGATTCCGGACGCCGTCTTGGGATGGCGCTGCTCTGCTGAGCAGATGTTGGGGACTGCCATGGTGTGCCACGCCGCGTCCCAGGCCCTCGACTGCTGCCCCAGCCCCCATCTGGGCAGGCTGGAGCATCTTGTCAGCAGCACAGCCTCCATGCCCCTCATGGCTGGGGGCAGGGAGCTTTCCTCTCGGTCCACACTCTGTGAGACTCAGCGCTACCCGGGGAGGGCAGAGCGGGCATGTGGAATCCTGGCGCCCGGAGGGAGGGAGGCAGGCAGCCCCACGCACCCTGGGGAGCAGCTACCTAGGCTGGCCGGGGAGGGGTAGCCCGTCTCCCTGCCCTGTGTTCGGAGGCCTGTGGCCTTCCCTCTCTTTCTGCTCCTGGACCACTCCTCGGGCTTCAGGGGGCGCTGCTGGAAATTGCTCTAGCTGGGGGCTGCTTCTGAAGAGGCTCAGAGAAGAGCAGTCATTTGTTGCCTACCTCCCTCAGGAATTTGTCCCCACGTTTAGTGAGGCAGGAATTGGCCAGCAGGAGACTGGCATGTGGACCCCAGGGACGCAGCTGGGGCAGGAAGAGGCTCCACCACAGCCTGGCTGTGTGACTTTCAGCAAATCCCTGCATCTCTCTGAGCCTCAGTGTTCCTCATCTGGAGAATGGGTCCCCACATACCACCCATCTAAGTTGGATTTATGGAGTGCTTTATTTAATGTGAACTTGACTTATATACATTTGAAAGAGGATGATAGAAAACATGTCTGCAACATTTGGAAGGTTGTGGCCTCCAGTTTTTAAAAAATTTGTTAAGACAGCTCATTTCACAGGTGACAGGCTGAGGTCCCAGAGAACCGTGCTTGTGCTCTGGCCACATGGTGGCGCCCTGGGAGCTGGTAAGCAGGCTGGCCGGGCGCTGGGCCCTGCCTGCCGTTGCTCGATATTGCAGTTCAAAGTCGTGTTGTCCGTGAGTTTGTTTTTTTATATGTATTTTGGAGATTAACCCCTTGTCAGATGTATGATTTGCAAATACCTTCTCCCAGTTGGTGGGTTGTCTTTTCGTTTTGTTCCTGGTTTCCTTTGCCTTGCAGAAGCTCTTTAGTCTGATGTAGTCCCATTTGTTTATTTTTTCTTCCGTTTCCCTTGCCCGAGGAGACATGGTGTTCAAAAAGATCCTTCGAAGACCGATGTTAAAGAGTGTACTACTGGGGGCTGGCTCCGTGGCCGAGTGGTTAAGTTCACGCGCTCCGTTGCAGCGGCCCAGGGTTCGGATCCTGGGCGCAGACATGGCACCACTCGTCAGGCCACGTTGAGGCGAAGTCCCACAACCCACAACTAGAAGTACCTGCAACTAAGATATACAACTATGTACTGGGGGGTGTTTGGGAGATAAAGCAGGAAAAAAAAAAAGATTAGCAACAGTTGTTAGCCCAGGTGCCAATCTTTAAAAAAAAAACAAACAAAAGAGTGGACTACCTATATTTTCTTCTGGGAGTTTTATTGTTTCAGGTCTTACATTCAAGTCTTTGATCCATTTTGAGTTAAGTTTTGCATATGGTGTGAGATAATGGTCCACTTTCATTCTTTTGCACGTGGCTGTCCAGTTTTCCCAGCACCATTTATCAAAGAGACTGTCTTTTCTCCATTGTATGTTCTTGGCACCTTTGTCAAAGATTAGTTGTCCGTAGATGTGTGGTTTTGTTTCTGGGCTTTCAGTTCTGTTCCGTTGATCTGTGTGCCTATTTGTCTGCCAGGACCATGCGGTTTTGATCACTATAGCTTTATAGTACTTTTTGAAGTCAGAGATTGTGACGCCTCCAGCTTTGTTCTTTTTTCTCAGGGTTGCTTTGGCTGTTTGAGGTCTTTTCTTCTTCCACATAAATGTTAGGATTCTTCGTTCTATTTCTGTGAAGAATGTCATTGGGATTCTGATTGGGATTGCGTTGAATCTGTAGATTGCTTTAGGTAATACGGACGTTTTGACATGTTTATTTTTCCAACCCATGAGCATGGAATCTCTTTCCATGAGTTTGTTAAGTGGAGATACTTGTTAGTCCTGGTCCTGGGACCCCCCCTACCCAAACCAGTTGTTTTAGAATGGAAGATGAGTGTGATAAAATGCTCTAAAGAGGGCGGAACAACTGCTTGATACTTAATCACGTTACTTTATGAGACAGGAAGCAATGGAATATTGGCAGTGATACTAAGAAATAAAAAGTGTCTTTAAAGCTGACCTCCGTGCTGTGGTTCTGGCTTTATGGTCTCCAAGAACGCCTGCTCCCTGTGATAGGATTACTGCTCCAGGGACAATAGGCTGGGACTTTATGAGCTGTGAATTATATGAGGTCTTCAGAAGCAAGACCCTCTTCACAAAGTATGGCCACAGTATTGATAGGCATCCCTGAGACCCTTTGCCTGCTCTTGACTAGCTGTGGGCCCTTCCCAAAGCTCTCTTTCATGGTCACCAGCTGCTCTCTTGGGGACCAGGCTGACTGCGGGGATCGTCACGCTGCCCTGGGCCCCCGTGCTGGTGGATGTGGGGTGGGCGGGGCGGGGGAGGACTCTTCATAGGGAGCTATCAGGCGAGGCTGTGGGAGGTATCACAGAGCAGGTCCCCAGGGAGACAGACATTTGCCTGGCGGGGAGGGAGGGCCCCAAGGGCTCCCTGCCCCGTGCCCCAGCTCCACAGCTCAGGCTGCTCAGCCTGGGGGTGCGTTGCCCAGCACGGTCCCCGTTAAACTCTCCTGCCCTCTGGGTGCTCGGCAGCCCTCCCTGTGGGTGCCTGCCCCGAACTCCTGGGGCCCACCAGCGTGACAGGCGTCCACTCTTGCAGGTGGTGAGAAGCTACAAGGCAGCCATCCAGCAGACCTTGGACATCCTCTTCCTCCAGGAGGGCTCCGAGTTTCTGAGCAGCACAGATGCTTCGAGCCGGGACTCCGCCGACCGCACCATTATCGCCTGGGATTTCCGGAGCTCCGCCAAAATCTCCAACCAGATTTTCCATGTGAGACAGCCTGTTTGGCATTGCTTTCAGGTTCAGCCCCGGACACGTCCCCGTAGCCCCCGGCTATCTGGGTCCCAGGTCACTTCCTGCGGGAGACGGTTCAGCAGGCAGGCTCTGGGGAGAAGATTGTCTGCCTGAAACCTCGAGGTGGGGGAAGGCAAAGCGTAGGGCCAGGCCCGTCCAGAGAACCTCCCACAGGCTCCCAGATCACAGCCACTCCCTAACTGCCCTCCTGCTCGTCTGCCCAGCGCAGCCACCGCAGGGTTAGGGTCTGGAGGGGCAGGCCAGTCCAGATTGACAGGAAGACGGCTGCACAACCCAAGACACCCCTCCCCTCTGTGCCACGCTAGCCAGCTGGCGGGTTTCTGCCCTCCCTTGCCCAGTGGCTTTGCCTGGGCTGTGGCTCCGGAGTTCCAGCAGGGACTCCGAAGTTAGACCACCTGCATTACAATCCTGGACTCACCACTGACACGCTGGGGGCCCTGGGCCCATTGCTTAGCCTCTTTGAGTCTCATTTTCCTCTTAGAAAATTGAGGATAAGAATATTACTTGCCTCATAGAACAGTTTTGAGAATTAAAAGAGATAATGCTTATAAAAAAAAGGGTCTAGCACAGTGCCAGGCACAGAGTGCTCCGTGAATGCCTTTCCTGTCATCACCTCTGTCATCATCACCACTGTCATCACCACCACCATCACCACCATCATCATCACCACCATTATTTTCAGCATTGCTATCACTACCACCATCACCATTACCGCCACCGCACCACCATCACCACCGCTCTTATCACCACCATCACCAGCACTGCTATCATATCGCCACCGTCATTTTCAGAATCACCATCACTACCGCCACCCTCATCACCACCATCGTTCCTGTTCACCGTCACTAGCACGAGCACCATCATCGCCATCACCATCCCCGTCACTACCATCGTCATCTTTTAAGATTTCAAATCAGCCATGGCTATTCTCTCCCACCCGCAATGAAAAACTATCTGTCAGGTGTACATATACAGCTTCTCCCGCTCCCTGCTTTTCCCTTGTTCTCAGCGGGTTCAAAGTGATCCTGCGCCAACCTGCCTCTGGACCTTCACTTCAGGGTTCTAGTGCAACTGCCTGGGAAGGCCAGGCCCCTGGAGGGGCGCAGGAGCGTGTCTGGCCACCAGGGCGTCCTGCCGCCACAGCCCCTGCAGAGACCAGGGCAAGCGAGCGAGGTGGAGGAAGGCGTGGCGCGCCCGAGCCGGCGGCCCTCCTGGATCACAGCTCCTCACTCGCTGTGCGGGGAGGAGGTGCTCTGCCGGGCAGTGTCCCTCTGGGGAGCTCCTCACGGGGCCACCGTGGCCTCCATGCTTCCAATGGGCACATTCGTCTGCTGCCGTGGTTCCCGCTGCTCCCCACGCTGCCCTCTGCATTGGGGCTCATTTAGCGAGTGTGGCTTAAGGACGATACTTAGAACATGGGAGCACAGGTGCAGGTGAGAGGGGTTAGGGGGTCTGTGTGACCGAGCCTATCAGACGGGGAGATTTCCCTGCCTGTGTTTTGAGCACTTTATTCAGGCATTCATCTTCTCCCGTGGCCGTTCACCGCCTCCCTTGCTGTGTGTTTTGCTGTGTGGGACCCTGGGCTGGGCTGGGACTGCCCTGAGGGCTCACGGTGGAGGTGGGGATGTGGGCGTGCGGATTCATTTTCTATTGCTCTGTAACAAGTGACCGCATGCTTGGTGGCTTAAACCAACAGAAATTTATCCTCTCACAGTCTGGAGGCCAGAAGTTTGTGGTCAGTGTCACCAGCTGAAATCAATGCGTTGGCAGGCCGTGCTCCCTCTGGAGGCTCCGGCGGAGTCTGTCCCTTGCTCCTTCCAGCTTCTGGTGGCTGCTGGGGATTCTCGGCTTGTGGCTGCATCACTCTAGTCTTCATGCCGACATCCTCCCGCCACTCCCTGCTCCTTCACAGCCACCTCCTGAGTGTCTGCTCTCCCCCGCCCCCCTTTTATAAGGATACCTGCGAGTGCACCTAGGGCAGCAATGCAGGAGAATCTCCCCGTCTCAAGATCCTTAATTTAATTATATCTACCTTCTTGATCTTTGGAGGGGCCATATAGGGTCCCAGGTTCCCAGGGACAGGGGACATTTCACGGGTCCCAGGAGTTAGGACATGGATATACTTGGGGGGACATTTTTCAGTCCACCACAAGGGCCGTGACCAAGGAGTGCAGGTGGCCTCTAGAAGCTGGAAAAGACAAGGGAACGGATTCCCCGCAGGGCCGCGAGAAGGAGCCAGCTCCGCTGGCACCTGGTTCCATCCCAGTGAGACCCACTTCAGTCTCTGCCCCCAGAACTGTGAGCTAACCATTGTGCGTTGTTTTAAGTCACTAAGAATTGTGGCAGTCTGTTGCAGCAGCCGTAGGAAACTCATACAGACCCCTCAGCTGAGGTCCAGGAGGAGGGCTCGATGCCCCGAGCAGAGTGCTGGGTGGCATGTCTGCCAGCCCACCGGGAGCCTTCTCCATCCTCTTTGTGGCCCTGTTTCCCAGGAGAGATACACCTGCCCCAGCCTCACCTTGCACCCGCGGGAGCCTGTGTTCCTGGCGCAGACCAATGGCAACTACCTGGCCCTCTTCTCCGCCGTGTGGCCCTACCGGATGAGCAGAAGGCGGCGCTACGAAGGGCACAAGGTACCCTGTCCCTGTCCCCCAGCTGGAAGGCTGAGCTCTGGCCCCAGAGCCTCCTGCCGGACAATGCCAGCAATGGACTTCGGGCCCAGAGTGTGCGGGCCCTCTGTCCAGGCAGATTCTGTTTCCTGTTTCCCAGGTGACCATATGCTCTGTGGCCTGGTGTCCACTCAAGGCCCTGGGCCACACCTGGCCCTACCCCAGGCCCCAGCCGCTGGTGGGAAAAATTTTCCCTCACTGGTTGGCTCATACGGACAGGTCAGAGTGATGGGGGGAATGGCAGGACAGAACGGGGGTGGGGGCCATTTCTACGTCAATCCCCTTTCCCCACTGAGGCCTGCCTCACTGGGACAGAGGGGCCCTGGGGACTCAGTGACCATCAGCGAGGCCAGACACCGACAGCCATGCTGGTGCTGTTCCATCGTCATCCCGCTAAACTAGCCTTGTGCACCAGGGTCCAAACCGGGACCCCAGCCTCACGGGAGGAGCTCAGGCTTTGGCTTGGGGCTGCTGGGTGTGAAGCCAGCTCTGCTCCCTGCCTGCTCTGGGCCTCAGCCCGCTCCTCTGTAGGGTGGGCGTAATAACGCCCTCACAGGGACAGGCTGGAGGAAGAGGTGGGACTGCGTGGGGGCCGCTGTGGCCTGCTCACCCTCGGTGTCGCCCTCTGCAGGTGGAAGGCTACTCGGTGGGCTGCGAGTGTTCCCCGGACGGGGACCTGCTGGTGACGGGCAGCGCTGACGGCCGGGCCCTGCTGTACAGCTTCCGCACTGCCAGCCGAGCGCGGATACTGCCCGGGCATGCCCAGGCCTGTGTCGGCACCACCTTCCACCCTGTGCTGCCCTCCGTCCTCGCCACCTGCTCCTGGGAGGGTGATGTTAAGATCTGGCACTGAGCCTCCGAGTGTGGAACCTTCCAGACGCCAGCAGGGTCCCAGGCTCCCCTTCTTCTGTGGGGTGGGTTGTGTAAGCACTGAGGTTGGCTGCCTCCACCCCCCTGTAAGCCTCAGTTTCCTCATCTGTAAAATGGGGGCAAAGTCCGTTTGTCTCAGGGTCGTGAGGACCACATTAGTGAAGGCACCTGGCAGGTTGCTGGTGACGCTCAATAAATGTGAGTGTTTTGCTATTTCTTAGGTTATTTCAGCGGCAGATACGTTTTGGCAGCTTCGTCTTGCAGGCCCACAGGAGCTCTGACACAAAGAGGATGGTGGGGGCTTGAGATGGGGTCAGCCTGGCTCTGCTGGGCCTGATGAGGGAGTGCCCAGGGCAGACAGAGGCTCTGGGGGACTGTGGGTCTGAGGTCTGCCCTCAGGAGCTCCGTGCTGGAGCATGGCAGGCCCTGCTGCTCACAGGGCGCAGGCCCCTCTAGCTGTGCACACACAGCGTGGCCAGCTGGGCCCCTGGGTCTGCCCAAGCCCTGGGGCCCTCTAGGCTCCCTCTTGCCCACTGCCTGTTGGTGTGCATGCTGCCCACGCGAGTGTGTCTGCCCTGGGTGAAGCAGCAATGTGGAGGAGCAAAGGGCCCTTGAGGAGTTGCAAGGAGCTGGGCTGGGAAGACCCAGCTCCCCGGGGATCTGGGCAGGCCAATGAGGACTAACCCCGCCAGGGCCATAAGTGAGCGGCCGCCCCCATGAGCCCAGGGATCCACTGCCCTGAGCACATGGTCCCAAGTGACCCCCCACCCCGGCCCCTTGAAGGGTGAAGAGAAATACGCTCCCCAGGCCCGTGCAGGATGCAGGGTCCCAGTGAGTGCTGGGAGCTCAAGGTGGGATCCCCTTCTCTTTTTAGGCTCAAAAATGGCTGATTTGGTGAAAATAAAGATAATCACATCCCGTGCCCAGTGGGTCTGGTCCCCAGCAGAAGTGGAGGCCCCACAGGGGCTGCCCTGGCCTGAGCAGGGCGGAGGCTGCGTGCGTCCTTCAGCACCTGGTGCGGCCATGGATGTTCCCAGTGCCCTCACACAGCTGTCCTGCCGGGCCTCGCTCACGCTCTCACCTGCACCGCAGGTGACTTCCCCGGCTCTGAGGGGCAGCTCTGTGACCTGTGAAGCCCACCCTGGGTCACTTCTGGGTGAAGCCTTCCCAGATGATGGCTCCCCATACTGTGCGCCAATCGCACTGCTGCCCCCTCTGCTGGGCCTCCCCCGCCCCCTCCCTCCCTCATTCAGGGCTCTGCGCAGACGGTGGGCCTCAGGGAGGCCTCTCCCCACCTCCTGGCAAGCTCAGTCTCCTCCCGCAGGGCGCTCGGCTCCCCGGATGCTGTAGATGCTGGCGCCGCCCAGCCCCACGCGCACAGTGGGTGTGAGCCTCACAGGGCTGCAGTGCCCGCTCTGTGCCTGGCCCCTGGCGCACAGTGGGCCTTCTGTGAACAACTGCAGGTGTGGCCTGCCGACAGGATGCGGGCTTTGGGATCAGACAGACGTCTACTTAAACCCTGCCATCGCCTGTCGTCACCGTGTGGCCGCAGCCAGTGCTGAGCTGCCCAGTGGCTCGGTTTCCCTTCTGTAAAGTGAGAAGCACCAGTAGCCAGCTTGCGGGGATTCCTGAGGCTGGACCTGTGCAGCTGTGGCAGGGCCTGGATGCAGCCGGCACTCAGGCAGCGGCAGCTGGCAGTATGAGTAATAATGTTAATGCTAGTCAGTCCAGTTGCTCGAGGGAGGAGTCCAGCCAGTTTAGGCCGGAGGGCGCAGTCCGGCTCCGTTCTCAGCCCTTGGGCCGAGGGTTGGCGGGGCCTCTCCCGTCCTCCCTGTGCATCAGCCTCGACCAGGTTCAGTCTCACGGCAGGAACCCCCCCCCCCAGGGTGGCCTTCCTCCTCCATTCCCCGTTGACAAGTCTCAGGGAAGGACCCTGACTGGCTGGCTTCTGTCACGCATCACCCCAGACCAGGGTCCTTGGCCAGGCACAGCTGCCCTGTAAAGCTGGAGGGGAGGGTGCTGGGCCCCCTGTGTTCTCGGGACAGCGTGTCTCCCCGGGTCTGGCCTGGACAGGCCGTCAGCACACATTTGTGGGGTGCATGAGTGACGTGTGGATGAACTGAGACACGCCGGGAGGGGAGGGAGGGGACTGGCCTCCCCAGGGCGCCTGTCGTTGGCCTTTCCTGCCCCCGCCTTGCCTGCAGCCCCTGGTGCTGGAGTCCAGACGTCCTGCTTTCCAGCCCAGCCTGAAGCGGGCGGTCGTCTGCCTGCCCTGCTGGGGGCATCTCCTGAGTGAGCTCTCACGGCAGGGTGTGCTGCGTGCTTTCCCCACCGGGACGTGTTAACATCACCGCTCGCTTAGTGAGCGTCGCTTACAGACCGTCTCAGTCAGGCTCTGGGGTGTGGCCATGGGATGACCTCCCCATCCACAGGGCTGCCCGGCCCCCCTCCTGTGCTGAGCCCACCCCCTGGCTGCCTGCCACCGTGTGGGATTTGGAGCCAGGAGACTGGCTCAGGTCCCAGGCCCATCCTCCGCTTGCATCCGGCCTCTGCACGTGCTTTGCTTCTCTGAGCCTCAGTTTCCTCATCTGTAAAGTGGGGACAAGCCGGGGAGATAATGCAGAGGAAGGGCTTTATAGACCAGTATCTTCCTACCTCACGGGGCAAACACCACCTAAACCTCCGTCCTTGACGTCCGTTTCTTTCCCACACTGGTGCCCTTGACCCAACCAAAGCTCTGATCCTCGTGGAGCCAGGGGGTGTCCAGGGCGCCCCAGAACCACAGCCTCTGTTTCTTAATGCCACTCTCTGTGGATCTGGCTTCTCAGCCCAGTGCCCCATGAGTGCTGGTTGCAAGCCCCTCCCTTTTTAGGTAATTTTTCTGAAGAATGGCAGGTGTCCTGCATGTCTCTGTTTCTTTTTCCAAATGCTTTCTCCCAGAGAGCATCCTTACAGGCTCGCTCTGGTCCTCTGTAGGGTGTCTGGGAGTTCACATTTGCAACTTTAAAACAAGAGAGCTAAATGCAGAAAGTGAGGAGCGGGAATGCCAAAGAAAAGCGGGCTGTCCCGCCACCCGCTTCCCGGGGCTCAGAGCTTGCCTTTCCCCTCACCTGCACATCTGAAATACAGATCCGGGCTGTCAAGGGAGAAGACGGTTTCACCTCAACACGCCAGCATGGCTGTGTGCTGCCAGCGCGAGGCCATGACTGTTGAGTGGCGCTGGTCTCGCAGTCCCCCGTGAGGTCGCTGCCATCCCCGCTGTCTAGTTGAGGAAGCTGCAGCTCGGAGGGCAGAGGGACGTGCCCAGGACCGTGTGACTCCGTAGCCTGTGGTCTTCCCCCTCCCGGGATCCTCCTCTGGCCTAGCCTGGGGCTCTCCACACGGTGGGGCCACCTACTGTCTAGGGGTCCCTGGGAATCTCATTTCAGAGTCCTCAGGCTCTAGAAGGGGAAACTGGCCCAGAGGGACTCACCTAAGGTGACATGGCAAGCTGGCGGCAGAGCCCTGCTCCACACTTCCCCGCTGGGGGTCGAGAAGAAACGTATATGGATGGGTAGGTGGGTGGTGGGTGCACAGACAGGGTCCCATTGGGGGTCAGCAGGACTCCAAGTGGAGGGAGGGGTGATTGGCAGAGGGAACCGCACACTGGCTATGGTTGTGGCTGGCTTTGGAGGCCATGGCAGGACAGCTCTGTGACGTATAGAGCCATCTAGGGGGGCACTGAGATGACACTGGGGGGGCCAGGACCCTGAATCTGAGAAGGCCCTCTGGGCCAAGGCTACAAAGCCCTCGGGGTTCCCAACCCTGCTGCCCAATCGCACGCCGACACGTGGGGCTCACGAGGCTGGGGTCCCTTCTGGGTGAGAGCCTGCTGGGTGGGTGCCCAGGGCCACATGTTTTTCCCTACACCTGCCAGTTGCCCCCAGTTCAGTGAGGCTCACTTCCCCCATCTGCCCACAAGGAAACTGAGCCCCAGAGAGGGGAGCTGACCCCCAAGGCTCTCTGCAGCCCCCTCTGGCTTGGGGAGGCTGCTCCTAGGGCGCGTCTGCTCCTGGGGAGGCAGCCAGGTGGGCTCTGGCCTCTCCTCCAGAAGCAGGTCAAGTGCAGGGATGCTGGGAGCCACAGCTGAGGCCCACCTTCCTTGGGGTCGCCTGGCAAGAGGCAGACCCACCTGGGAGCTACACGAAGCTGGGTGGGCAAGGGAACTTCAGGCATGCTCCCAGGCCAAGGTGAGCCAGAAGCCCCCTGGAGGAACAGACATAAAGCGCCCCCGCAGAACTTTGCAGAACCCCCCGCCGCCCAAGTACATTCTCAAGGGTATTGATGAGCATGCATCCAAGATAACCAGGCACACGAAGAAACACGGCAACATGGTCAGGAACCCAGAGAAACAGATCTGCATGGGCCCCACATGATGGAAGGAAGCCCCAGACCCAGACGTTGAACCAGCTGTGCCCACGGTGTTGAAGGAAATAAAGGACAAGCTTGGAAACAGCTCTAGGGCATAGGAGACTATCAAAGTAGCATAGTGGATGTGTACAACTGCACAGAACTTCTAGAAATGGGAAACATTAATAACTAAAGCTAAAAAGTCAGAGGCTGTGTTTGGCAGCTGAGTGGGTACAGCAGAAGAGAATTAGTGAAATGGCAGACCAATGACGCAGACTCACTATGGCAAGATGAAAATGGGGCCCATGCAGAAGAGACGAAGAGGATACAGTGAGAGGGTCTGCCATTGCTCCAACGGCATCCCAGGGCGAGAGAAGGGAGAAAACGGCAGAGAAAAAAGGATAGTTGAGAATGTCCTAGAACTGATGAAATACATCAATCCACAGATCCAAGAGTCCCTGTGAACGCCCAAGAAGGATAACCCCACAAGACACACCTCAGGGAAACTGCAGAAAACCAAAGTGAAAGGGATGGTCCTGAGCAGCTGGGAGAAAAAGACAGATGACCACCAGGGGAACAGCTCCCGGAGGGAGAGCTGGCGAGGCTGCACCCCAGGGGAAGCCAGAGAACAGCGCAGGTGGCATCTCTGTGTGCTGGGGCAAAGGGACCACCTGCTCACATCCTCCCCAGTGAGAATGTCCTTCAAAAACGGGCAAAGACATCTTCAGAGAAATAAAAGCTGGGAGAATCTCACCAGGAGAGCCGCCCTAAAGGAATCCTAGGGAATCCTTATGCAGAAGCAAAGTCAGATGTGGGAATGAATGAGGGAGTAGAAATGTGTGGGATAAGGTAAAGGAACACCGTCTAAAAGGCTCTCATAAGTGTAGCGGGTCAGACAATGGCAATTCAAACCCGACACATGCCCGGTGGGGGCAGGAGCATCAGGGTCAGGAGACGCCTCGGCCGCAGAGAGAAGACGGGGAAGGACACCAGGGCCACATGTCCCTGTGATCAGAAGGCAGTGGGGAGAAGAAACAGCCCAGACCCAGATTCTTTCCACCGATGTCTTTTATTAATGAATGCAAAATACAGTACTAACGGAGACAGGGCATGCATGGCGGACGACAGGAAAGCAAGCCACAGAAACCGGGAGTCAGAGGGCCTCATACGTCTGAGGTAGAGCGAGGTGGTGCCAGGGAGCGGGACACTGGGGGACGAGCACCGGCCCCACTCGGGACGACGGACCACGGGAGAGCTCGGGGGGTGTCGGCCACACGGCGAAAACAGTTTAAAACGTTTCCCATCCCTTCACCCGTTCCAGTTCCCCTCTTTGTGGACAGAGCTTCGGGGTTCCCTTGTCACTGGCTCACCGGGGTGTCTCCGTAGGACACCGTCCTTCCCTCCAAGGGGCAAGCCCCACTTGCCCTCATCCGAAAAATAAAGGAGCTTTGTGTTGAAAACGCCAAGGCTGCCATCCAGGGAGCTGGAGGCCAAGTGCGTTAAGAAAGACCCTTTTTCTCTATAAAAATAGTTTCACTTTATAAAAGGGGGGAATGCTCATCTCAGGTGGGGAGGGACGCTGGAATGTGAAAAACGTTCTGGGGGCAGTTCCACCGTGGCGGGGCTGGGGCGGACGCGACAACGCGGGGCGGGCCCTGCTCTCGGCCGGCTCGCCGGGGGCAGGTGCACGAGAGGGGCCTGGCGGGGGGGCGGGGGGGGGGGGGGGGGGCGAGGCTGGCCCCGGGCCGGGCCGGGCCGGGCCGGGCGGCGCTCAGTTGAGCAAGGTTCCGTAGAGCTGGGCCTTCGTGAGGCTGTCCTTGCGGCTGAGCCCCGCGCCGCCAGTCCGCGCGAAGGCCGGCTGCGGGCTGAGGCGCGCGGCCGGGAGCATCTCCGGGGAGGCCTCCATGGAGCTGGGCTCCAGGGAGTCCCTGGAGCTGTGCGGGCTGCGCTCGGGCTCGGGGCTGCCGGCCGCCGCGCACAGCCTGTCGCCGGGCGCGTCCCCGGGCGCGTAGCCGGGCAGCGGGTCGGCCGCGCGGCCGGGGCTCAGGCTGCGGTCGGCGGCCGCGCGGAGGAAGCAGGGCTCGGCGCGGCGGCCGCGCGCCAGCTCGGCGCCCTCGGGGAAGCTGTCGGCCTTGTAGGCGGCGTAGCGCGGGCTGGCGCGGCCCTCGGCGCCCTCGCCGCCGTAGTAGCGTTCCGAGAAGCTGCAGGGCGACGCGCGGCCGGCCGCGGGCGCGGGGACCGGGTAGGCGCCCACGTCCTCCACGCTCAGCGGCCGCCAGCGCGCGCGCGCGTCCTCGCCGGGCAGCCGCGCCGCCCCCGGCTGCGCGCGCAGGCTCCACAGGTTGGGCGGCATGAGCGCCTGGCGCGGGCCCGGCGACGCCGGGAAGCGGAAGGGCTCGGCCGGGTAGGGCGACACGGTCCGCGCGAAGCCCGGGGCCACCTCGGCCTCGAGCGGCGCGGCCACGGCGGCCGCGGCCTTGGCGAAGCGCGGGCTGCCCTGGAAGGCGGCGGCGGCGGGCGGCGCGCGCTCGAAGAGCTCGTCGCGGCCGGGCCGGTACAGGGCCTGCTGCGCGGCGGGGAGCGTGCCCGCCGGCGCCGGCTCCTTCTCCTCCGACGTGGCGCTGAAGCTCGAGTAGGAGCTGGACGTGGGCAGCGAGGCTGCGTAGGCCGGGAAGGCCTCGTGCCGGAAGGCGGCGGGGAAGGCGGCCGCCTCGGCCTCGTCCTCCTCGTCGGCCGCGCTGTCGGTGGAGTTCTGGGCCCGCAGGAAGCCCACGTCGGTCCCGGGCGCGTCCACGCTGGGCCGCCGGTCGCGCCGCCGCTCCTCGGGGCAGTAGAGGGCCGTGTCGCTGCAGTAGATGTCGCCCTTGTAGGGGGGCCGCGCGCCCGGCTTCTCGCCGCAGTCGCCGAAGGCCAGGTCGCGGCCCGAGGCGTCGGACAGGCGGGAGGACAGGCTGGCGGGGTCGGGCTTCTCCAGCACCTTGGCGATGACGCAGGTGGGGACGCTGTCTGCGTAGGCCGGGTGGCAGAGCGGCGAGGGCAAGCTGCAGCCGTGCTTCTCCATGTGCAGGCTCACGCGCTCCTGGAACTCCGAGGGCAGCTGCGGCGGGGCGGGGCGGCGACAGGGGCGGCAGTCAGCCCGGGACCGCAGCTGCCGCGGACTCCCGGCAGGTGGACCAGGAGGGAGCTGCGCCGGGCTCCCCAGCTGGAGCCGGGGCCCAGGACGCCTCAGGGCCCCTGGTCACCTGTACTCCCCCCACCCCCCCGCCGCAGCCCCCGCATTTCCTCCCCTGAGGGATTCACTTGCTCCCCCCACCCCCCAGCCATGTGGCCTGGGGGCTCCTGAACACACAGACTCAGAAACAGATGCAACAAAGATCCAGGGCCAGGGGCCCAGCAGGTTCCGCAGGAGCGCCTGGTGCCTGTGGGGACATCCCACTACTGTTTGATCTATTTGAGAGTGTCTCAGGGGTGGCCCAGGGAGAGGGGACACCGACGGAGGCCTGGATGACGGGAGAGCGTGGAGAGAGGGGCAGCCTGGCTTTGGCACCAGAGAGCCCTGTGGCCTTGGCCAGTCATTGTGCCCAAACCGAACTGCAGGGTTTCTGTGAGGCTCACACTGGGTCACTCTGCCCCATCAGTGCTCCGAGGACGGTGTGGGGGGGGCATGGAGCCGGGACAAGGAGCAGCCGGCAGAGGAAACCGGGGGGAATGGGCGGCTGTCCACACCGGGTGGAGTGTGCGTGGGGTGGCCCTTCCAGCACCTCTCAGAAAGGCTGCGGGGGCGCCGGGGGCAGAGGCCGCAGGCTCACCCAGCGCCTCCCCCTGGGGGTGGGGAGAGGCCATGCCCCAGTGGCGCGGGCGGCTGGCAGGGCGGGCCCACGTTACCTCGGACACCTTATGGACCCTGCCGTAGGTCTGGCTGCACTGCAGCAGCTGGGCCGCCAGGCTGCAGTCCTGCCTATAGAGTTCCTGGAAGACAAGAGAAGGCGTTTGGCGCAGGCCTGCCCCTTGCCCAGGTCCCTGCCGCCCTGACTGGCGCCCAGGGGCCAACACAGAGAGCCGGTGGGCAGAGTGGCTATGTGGGTGGCGGGACAAGGACCCTCTCTGGGCCTCACAATCTTGCCTGCAGAATGGGGGCCTCGGCTCTGACCCGGAGCTGCCGGGGCATGAAGGGGGCCCTGCCAGGCAGTCCTGCGGCTGCCCCAGATGGGACCCTCCCACAAAGTGGGGGCAGGGGTAGAAGGACTCAACGGTTCTTGAACTCTCGGAGGCCCCAGGCATGGTGACAGGCCTGGTCTGCCCGTCCCTCGGCCTCCCAAGTCCCTCCAAAGAGAACTGAGGGCACAGTGCTGGCATAAGGATGAGGAGGGAGCTGCAGCGCCTGCCACCCCCAGTCCCAGGCTGGCTGCCCACGCCGCGTGCTCAGAGCATGGCCTGGCAATGGGAGTGGCTGCAGGGCTGGGCGAGGGTCAGGGAGAGTGGGACAGAGGGCCTGTGTGACCCCAGGTCGAGGCGGGGCCCGGCTCAGCCTCCTGAGCTGAAAACAGATGCAAACAGTAGGAATGGAGGGGACTGGGTCTCGTCTTTGGAAAATCTCTGTTGCATGTGCCTGTGGCTGGGCCTTCACTCCTGCCCCACCCAGGGACCCTCGGCCTGAGGGCTCTGACAGTGAGGAATCTGGGGCCCACCTGCTCCCAGGCCTCAGCTCAACTAGGACCAGGTGTGCTGCGGCTCAGGCCCGCTGTTGAAGGTGTGGGCGCCCTCGTTATCCCCCCGCCCTGGACCTGGAGCCCCCCCCACCTCCTCCTTCTCGGCTGAGGCTGCTGCCCCACTTGGCCTGCACAGTGGAGGGAACCTGGGTCCCCAGCCCCCTTGCCTCCATGGGCCTCCTGGGAAGGGCAGAGTTGGCTGAGAGCTGAGAACTGACCCCTGTGAGGCCCACGACTGGCTGCCACTGGCATCAGAGGACTGCAGGGGCTGCCCAGCCAGCCCAGGTCTGCCGCTGGGTGGTTGACAGACGGCTGGCAGCCGCCCTGTCCTGGGGCCTCCCTTCTTCTCATCTGCAGGGCTCCTCGGTGATCCCAACCCATCTGCGGCCTTGAATGCCGAGAGCATGCTGATCTCGGCCTTGAACTCCAGACCCCAATCTCCAGTGTCCCAATGTCTTCCCAGCATCTCCTCCTGGACGTCCAGCGCACTGTGGAACCCAGCTCCTGCTGTCCCCACGCCTGCTCCTCCCCCGGCATCCCCAGCTCAGGAGACGGCAGGACCCGTCTCTTTCTCTCACACCCTACATCCAAAATCTTGGTCAATCCTGTTGGTTCCATCCTCAAAATATAACCAGAATCGCAGCCCTTCTCCCCACCTCCACGGCCGCCATGCGGGCCGAGCCCCAACGTCCTTCCCCCGGATTGCTGCCAGTCTCCTCCTCGGTCTCCCTGCTCCTGCCCTCGTCCCCTACAGTCTGTTCCCAGCAGCAGCCCTGTGAGCCCAGCAGAAGTCCAAGTCCAGTCCTGTGACTCCTCTCTTCAAGAACCTTCAGTGGCTCCCTGTTTCACTCAGAATAAAACCCAGCTTCCTCCGGGAGCCTATACACTGTGGCCTCATCTTTCTGACCTCAGACCCTGGGCCTCCTTCCTGCCAAGAGCCCACTCGCACCGCCTTGCTCTTCTTCGAACTACCCAGGCCCACCTTCGCCACCGTGGTTCTTTCTGCCTGGAAGGAACGCTCTTCTGGGACATCCCGTGGCCAGCTCCCTTGCCACCTTCGGGTCTGGGCTGCTGCAGCCTCTCCCAGGAGCGCCCTCTTGAAATGTGCTACCCCTGCAACTGGCAGCTCCCTCGCACGCTCCCTGCTTTATTTTCTCCGCGGCATTTAGCACTTCTGACACAGCGCATGGATGCGCATCTCGCTTGTTTTCCGTCTGTCTGCCCGGCTCGGATGTAAACTCCACGTGGGCAGGGATGTTTCTGCCTGTGTTGTTCACACCATATTCTCAGAGCCCAGTAGGGTCTGACGGAATTAGTGAGTGTGGGGTCAGCTGTCAGGAGTCGGTGGAGGGCAGCCGGGCCCATGTCCCACGGCCCTGAAAGTGGGGCCCCACGGGTGGCCACACAGCTCTGATGCCCCTGGGGCTGGCTGAAGGCAGGAATGCTGAGCGGGGTCAGCAAGGCCTGCCGTGAACAGGATGATCTGGCCAGTGCTCCCTACCTCGAGTCCTCTTTCCTTCCAGGGTCTTCCAGGACGCCCTCGGCGGTGCATCTCTGGGGAGGCAGCCCCTGTCCTCCCCGACTGCCCAGGTGCTCCTGGAGGCCCTGACCGCCCTGTCCATCCACCTGCCGCTGGGCCAGCCCCCCGAGCCCGGGGCCGTAGTGCCTGGGCCTGGCCCCTTGGGGTCGGAATGGCCTGACACTCACGTTGTCCTCCGAGAGCTTGTCGATGGTCACCTTGGCCTCCAGCAGGTGGCTGTTGAGGGCGACGATCTCATGGCTCAGCGCTCGCTTCTCTTCCTCATAGTGCTGGCCCTGCGGGGGGCAGGGCAGTGGTGGGGGTGGTCAGCCGTCAGCCAAGGCCTGGGGCTCAAGCCCCGCTGTGCCATTAGGCCACACGCGTGCCCTCTTGCAGCCGATAATGATGAGGTGTTTGGAGGGCTAGGGAGTGCAGAGGTCAGAGCACAGACCCCCCCCCCAAGTTCAAATCCCGCGCCACCACTGACAAGCCAGATGGCCTCGGGCACGTCACGGCCTGCCTGAGCCTCAGTTTCTCATCTGCACCACAGGAGTCACGTCCTCCTCCTGGGAGGCTGGGGTGAGGACCGAGAGAAGATAGTTTGTGCTCAGCCCGAAGCCTGGCCCATCTCACTGGACAGATTGGGAAACTGAGGCTCAGAAAGGAAAGGGCCCTTGTCCAGGGGCCTAGCAGAGCCACCCCAGCTCCCGCCAGCAGCTGGAAGACAGGCAGGCGTCGAACAGCCATTTCTGATTTCCAAAAGCAAAATAAGCTTGCAACCACTAAAAAGAGGGAACTTCTCTCTCGGTGGAGGGAGGTGCCAGAAACGGCCCACCCGTCCTCGAGGGCGAGCTCTGAGGTCAGAGGGGACCAGGGGGCCCACCTCCACCACTTCTATTTCTTCACACCGAGGGCTCCCCAGCCCCACCAACAGAGAGAAACGCAGCTGTGCCGGCTGTCTGCAGATGGGGGGGTCTCCAGGAGGGTCTCTGCCCGCCCTGCCCCGGGCCAGGCACGGCCCGGTCTCGTTTATTCCTCATGGTAAGAGGGAGGGGTCCTGAGAGAGGCGCCGTGGGGGCTCAAACCCAGCTTTGGCTCACCCGGGGCCCGAACTCAGGCCTCCGTCCTCCCAGGTCTGGGTCTCTTGGCTGGCGGTCCCCAGTGCATGCGCGTCCTCTCTCCCACTCACGCCTCCAGCTCAGCATGCACCGCCTGCTGCTGAGGCTCACGGGGCAGCTCTGAACCCTACCACTCCCTTGTCCTGACAGCACCCTCCCATTCGGTGCAGAAAGGGGTGGGACCCAAGGGGCAGGAGGTCAGGAAACAAGGCCTGTGACCTGGCTCCTGCATGGGCAGGGTGGCTCCCCCGGGGTCCAGAGCTGAGGGCCGTGGGGCGGGGGCCTCACCATGCGGTACAGCTTGTCCTCCAGCTCCTGGTTGATCCTTTGCAGCGCCATGTAGTTGCTCTGAATCCTGGAGGAGGAGGCAATGGGTCACCGGTGCGAGCCTTGAGCCTCCCATGACCCCTCCAGCGACCGGCTGGATGAGCAGGGCGGGGCTGAAAGCAGGCCCCCTGAGCCCATGCGCTGGCCCACCCTGGTCTGATTGCCCCTCTGCACACAGCAGAAAGCGTCGATCTCAGCTAACCTGCTGAGGCCTTTCCTGGGTCAGGGTCCAGGACCCCTGGGAGATGAGAGGGGGAGCCCTGTCATTCACAGGCGACTCAGTCAGGTCCTCACTCAGAGCCAGTGTACTGGCGTTTTACACACAGCTCTTACAGGCCTTAAGACTGACCATGCGATGGGCCCGGGATGAGTGCTGGAGACTTGGTTCCCCTGGAAGACGGGAAGGTGGAGGCGAGTGCGGGGCAAAATCGGGCGCTCTGCTTCCACTGCTGCCACGCAGTGTGACAGCGGAAGGGAGCTCGGGACAGACTCCATCCTCTCGGCAACCTGCGTGTAGTGTTATTGCCTCCTGTCTCACTAATGGGGAAACTGAGGCTAGAGGTGCCTACAGCAGGAAGCGGCAGAGCTGGGACCTTCACCGAGGTCTGACAGCGCTGCCCAAGCCTGGTTCCCACAGGACTCTATGGGGACACCCAGAAGGCCCAGCAGGATGGGCCCTGAAGGGACAGCCAGCCCTGCTGGCAACTCCTGTCTCGACATGGCATCAGCCGGTGCTCTATAAATATTTAAAATAAACCGGCCCAGCAGCAAAGTCTGCCTTCTCTTTGCGTTCTTCCTAAAGGAAGGCTGGAAAGTGTGTAATGTTTTAGGAAAATGTGCAGAACAGTGTTTTCAGAAAAGTTTTTTTTTTTTTTTTTGAGGAAGATTAGCCCTGAGCTAACTGCTGCCAATCCTCCTCTTTTTGCTGAGGAAGACTGGCCCTGAGCTAACATCCGTGTCCATCTTCCTCTACTTTATATGTGGGACGCCTACCACAGCATGGTGTGCAAAGCGGGGCCATGTCCGCACCCCGGATCTGAACCAGCAAACCCCGGCTGCCGAAGCGGAACGTGTGAAACTTAACCGCTGCACCACCGGGCCAGCCCCAGAAAAGTTTGGTTTTTAAGGGAGTAATTGCTCAGGGTCCCTCATCCACGCTTCACTTGCTGCTCAAGGGATCGGTCCCTAACCTCTGGTTCATCAAGGTCCCTAACCTCTGGCTCATCTCCAGGGCTAGACATCACTTTTCCTATCAAAGACCCAGGGGACCGTGGCTGGGACCCTGGCGGACCAGTCGGGGTCTGGAGATGGCCGCTTCTGTGGGAAGAGCCTGTCCCTGGCAGTAGCCAGACCCGGGTTAAGATCCTGGTTTGGTGGCTCTTGGCACAAAGTACAACTTTGGAAAAGGAGCTGGCCCTCATTGAGCCCGGGACTCCCCATCTGCGAATGGGGTCACCAGATCGGTGGGAGGCAGAGCTCTGCGCTGAGACCCCGGGGCCCCGCCCCGCCCCCTCACCTGCGCAGCTTCTCCGTGACCTTCTCGAGCTCCTCCTGCGCGCGCCGCAGCTCGATCTCCAGGTAGTGGCGCGTGGAGTCGAACTCGGTCTCGAGCTTCTCGAGCTTGTGCGTGGTGTAGGACAGCCGCTTCCGCAGCTCGCCCTTCTGCTCCTGCAGCGCGCTGAAACGACACGCGGCGGCGGGCCGGGCCGCGGCGCTGAGCGCGGGGAAACTGAGGCCGCGCCGGCCAGTCGGGCTGTGCGTGCACCGCATGCGCCTAGCCAGACTCACACACGCACACTTGCATGCGCACACACGCGCGCGCACACACACACACACACCCCTCTGTGGGCAGCACTAGAGGCTGACGGCCCCTCAGGCGTAGGGACTGACACTGAGCCAGTCGGGCCCAGGTCATCCGTCAGCCTCCAGCAGCGCCATGTCAGAGGTGTCACCTGGGAGGAGAAACGTCTGGACCCCAGAACCTGGCTCGTGTTGGGGGCGGCTTACAGGGCGGCCCTCCCTCTCCGAGCCGACCTCTGGATGGGGAAGCTTACAAGGGCCCCAACTTCGGCTCCTCCACAGCGCTGGGTGGGGATTCTGAGGCCCAGAGGTGTCAGTGGCACACCCTAGACCAGACCTCTTTTCCCCAAATTGGCTGTGTGACCTCCGGGCCAGGGAGGGGACGGGCCAGGAAGCCCCATGCCCAGGCAGCAGCCACCACAGTGGCCAGCTGGCCGCACACAGCATCAGAAACTCAGGAAAGCCCCAGCCTGCTGTGTCCCCTTCCTCCAGGAAGCCCTCAGGCCCCGCTCCTGAGGCTCTCTCCCCCACAGACTGGGGGACCCCGAGATGCTGAGCCCCCAGGCTCAGAAAACAGACTCGGGAGAGTCCGGCCTCTGAACCGTGGCAGTCAGCTCACTTGAGCATAGTCATCAGTTGGGCACAAGGTGGAGGGGTGGGTGTGGGTGTGGGTGTGGGGGCTGCGCCCAGGGGACTGGCTGTGAACTCTACCCGGGCAGGGACCACCTCCTGTCAGTAGCCACGCAGCACCGGGAGAGGAGCCCGCAGGTCCACACGCGCTCCACGGCCCTTTCCTTTACTGACCGGGCCCCAGAGGGCAGGGGCTGCTGGCCGAAGGACACGGCTTTGAGGTGGGGCCGTGAGAGCTGCTCTCTGCAGAGAAGGGGGCTGCTGTGCGCCGGGAGGGGCGCGGGGGCGCTCCGCAGGGTGTTCGCCACAACAGAGCCAAGAATCAAGCTGCTCTTCAGCACTCTGGGTGGGCGCTGCCCCGTCACCGCGCACTACAGTGACGATGAAGCCCAGGGTGCTGTGGCCCAAAGATGGGCACCAGCCTGTGCCGTGGGGTGGGCAGGGGCTCCGCTGTCCCACAGACCTAGCTACTGGTCCCCTCCATCTGCCCCCAGGGGCCCACTACCCACCTGAGCCTCCGCTTCCCCCTGGGAAGCAGGGACTGCCCCCGTCTTGCCCTCTGGCCCCACAGCCCTCAGAAAAATTCCGCCCAGAGGGGTGCCCAAGCTGGAGGGGGGCCGGAGCAGGCCGTCAGTTTGCTGGAACAAGTGCACGCCCTCAGGGGACCACCCGGATCCAACACCCTTTTGGATGGTAATTTCTGGTGGGTTTGCTGTGGGATTGGGGGGGGGAGGGTGGACAGTGCCCGCTCCAGACCATGGGGTGGGGGCAGGAGGGGAGTCCCCAGGTGTCATGCCTGGTAACCCCGACTATGCCTGGATGTGCTGTGGGACCTTGGGCTAGAGCCCGTGTTCTCAGGGCCTCCCAGACCAGAGGCCAGTGCGGGATCCCGGGACAGGCGGGAGCTTCCCCAGCACCAGGCAGAGGGCTCTTCAGCCCTGGGCCGTGTGTAAACATCCGCCTCACCACGGGTGCAGGCAGAGAACTGCGACCAAGCGTTCCTGGAGTCCTGCCCAGGGCTACATTTTTAAAATAAATAAAGAGTAGCCTGCATTTTGAGAACCTCGGAGAAGGGTGGGGTGGGCCTCCCAAGAGTGGTTCCCCAAGGAGGCTGGAGAGTGACAAGCAAGAAGGGAGCCCAGAGGCAGAACACCCGCGGCTGCCCACGCACGTCCAGCCTCCTCCTCCGGGCAGCGTGCCTGACTGCCCCACCACGAGCACCCTGAAGTCACAGATCCCACAGTGCCCCCCGCCAGGCCCAGGGGTGTGATGAGCTTCCTGGGGGCTCTCCCATGTCATCCCCTGTGCCTGACCCCCTGCAGGCACAGTGTCGGGCTGGGGTTGGGGCAGCAGCCCCTGAAGTCAGTCTCCTCTCATCCCAGACGAAAGCATCACCCGTCCACTCGTGTGGCCACTTAAGCCCCAGCCCCCTGCCTCAGAACCAGCGACTTTCGCCACCTTCCCTCCCCCAGCTTGGCCACCCACCCGCAGCCGCAGGTTATACCCTGCCACCCCGCAGACAGCCCACTCCTGACGAGACCCAGCCACAGCATCCCACGACGCATGCACCCGTCACCCTCTTTCCTTCCTCTCCTGCCACCCGGCCCTGTTCCCAGCACCTCACAGCAGCGTGTAAGACAACATGGTCCCGCCCCACCGAGCCTACCATCTCGAGGGGACATGGGTGATGAGCAAGGGAACAGGCCTGTCAACGAGGCAAGAGTATGACAGGGCTGTGAGGTGGGCTCCATCCGGCAGAGCCAGGACCTGCCGAGGGGCACCTGGGCCGAGACCTCTCCACACGGGGCACCCAGCTTCACCGAGCCGGCCGCCTGAGCCTCAGTTTACCCTTGGCCCTCAGATGGATGGCCTTCCAGACATACCGGGTGGCTCTGTCCCACCACCCCTCCAAGACTGCTCCCACCCTCCCTGTGCCCCTCACGCCCCCCAACCCCCAAGCTGCACCCTGGTCAGGCCTGGGCTGGCAGTGCCCCGGCCCCTGACTCCTGCCCCTCCTCGCTCCCCACCCCAGCCCGCTTGCTGCAGGCGCCTGGCCCCCAGCCCCAGACACTCCTCCCGACCTCTCCGTCACAGCAGACGCCCAGGCTCCCCCACACCTGTGCCCCACCGTGTCCTTCCCCATCTCTGCCACCCCGGCTCTGTTGCATCTGCACCCCTTGAGTGTGCCCAGGCTGCCCCTCAGGCCCGGGTTTGCACCCCGCCCCGCCCCACCCCTGCGCATCTCAGGCCGAGTGTCCCCCACGCCCAGCCACACAGATCCTCTCCAACCTCCAGCTTCAGCCCGGGCCTCTCTTCCCATGTCCCGGCGCCCAGCGTCCTGTCTGCCCGGATGACCGCAGGCACCGCACACTCAGTGCGTCCAATGCTGACCGCTCCTTGCCCTCTGCACTCCCCATCCCCCGGGAGGGCCCACCACCCTCAATCCCCAGTCAGACCCCAAAAGGCCATGGTGAGCCCTCCTTGCCCCTCACAGCCTGTCACCAAGGCCTGGCAATCAGCTACTCAGAAACTTTGGACATGTCCCCTCCTCGGACTGGTCCAGGGAGGGCTCTAGGCTGGGCACCCTGGGGTCTGCGGTCACCTGGCTGGTGCCTCTGTCCCTTCCAGTGCCTTCCCCTGCCAGGGCATTAACCTGAGCCCTGGCAGGCCTCAGCCTCAGTCTTCACGTCTGTAATACAGGGACGTGTGTGCCCACACTGGGGAGCCCCCACCCTCGGGAAGGAGCGCTGTCGTGGTGGTCCCTGCACTACCCGGGGTCATCAGAACTACCAGGAGACGACGTCACAGGCAGCACCGTGTAGACGTGGGGCCTCTGGGCCGCTGGGAATCTGGGGGAACCGCTTGGGGGCCTGGGGCTGCGGCTTCCTCCTCCCCACGGGTGGGGAGGTGGCTCGGGGGCCCCAGCGTCTGGAGACAGCCCCTGACAGGTGCATGGGGAGTGTGTGGAAGTCCTTTGTGACCAGACCAGCCAGTGCCGCACCCTCCAGATCAGGACCCCCCTCCCAGGTGGGGGTTTAGGAAGCCCAGCTCAGGCTGTAGCCTGTGAGGTCCCCTCGCTTCAGCATGTGTCCTGGTGAATGAAATCAGGATCCAAAGCTGGCGTGACAGGAGGTGTGGGGGGGTTGGTTCCCTCCCTGCACACCGGAAGCCCCAGAAGTGCTTTCTCACCTCCCAGAGTAGGATGAGGAGCTCGTTCCGTGAGGAGCGGGGCCCCGAGGAATCCCCTCCTGCCTTCCCCCGGGAACCCGTTCCGGCCACTCAGGACAGAGCCCCTGGCTGGGGCCGGGCAGTGGGCTGTGGGGGCATGAGGGCCGCGCCTCCGAGACGGGATAGCACAGAAAGGGGCGACCCGACCCCTTCCCCTGTCTGGGCCTCCCCATCTGTCTCGGGGTGTTGATGTGGATGTGGGATGGAGGTCTGGGGACAGATGTGGGGACACCAAGGAGCCGGGGAGACAACAGGCAGGTTACCTGTCCCAGAGCGAGGGCGAGGACCTGGCCAGCCGGCCCTGCAGGACGCGGGGCTGCCCAAGGCACGAGGGCACCCAGGGGCTGCGCAGCCTGTGGGCAGAGAGGACACAGCTGCTCAGAGCGCGGCCGGGGGCACCCGCCCACCACGGGCACACCGTCACGGAGGGATGGCGCTCCACCCTACGCCTGGCAGGAAAACTCCTTGTCATCAGCACGGGGGCGGGGGTAGGGGGAGGAACCAGGGTGGGGACCCAGCCTGTCCACCTGCTGCCTGAGCCCACTGGTGGCACCGAGTCCCACCAGGGGCAGGTCCCCACCCGCAGGTCTGCATCCAGCCTCTCAGCCTCAGACGGGACTGGGGGCAGGCTCCCCAGCTCTGGGGGGCCGCCTGGCTCCCGCTCCTTGCGGGAAGGACCCATTGGTCAGAGAACCCAGGAGGCAAGGAGGATGGAGGGACAGTGTGACGCCAGCCCCCCACCTCTGCTGGGACACCATGACAGCTGACGCGAATGGACAACTTGGGGGGGGCGGTCCTGGAGGCTGTGGGACCTGGTGGATGTTAGGGGTCCAGGGCAGGGGGCAGCGGGGGGGACGGAGTGGGGTGGGAGCCGCGTGGATGGACACGAGAAGCGACACAGGCCTCCCCTGGCTCTGCTGTGGCGCCACCCTGCTGGGGGCAACAGCCTACACATCCGAGCCTTGGCCATGGTGACCCCCGCTGCAGTCTCTCCAGGGACGCTCGGGTGGCCTTGCTGGCCCGGGGCCAAAGCGGGAATCTGACGAGAGGATGCTGCCCCAGAAACCAGGCTCCCGAAGAATGCTCTGAGTCACGGGCCAATGTTCGTGTCAAGAGAAAGCTGTATAATCCCCCTTAGAAATAACTGCAGGGGGGCAGCCTGGTGGCGCAGCGGTTAAGCGTGCACATTCTGCTTTGGTGGCCCAGGGCTTCGCCAGTTCAGATCCCAGATGTGGACCTACGCACCACTCATCAAGTCATGCTGTGGCAGCATCCCACATATAATGTAGAGGAAAATGGGCACGGATGTTAGCTCAGGGCCAGTCTTCCTCAACAAAAAGAGGAAGATTGGCGGCAGATGTTAGCTCAGAGCTAATCTTCCTCAAAAAAGTAAAATTAAAAGAATAACTGCATAGGCCCGTCCAGTGGTTCATCGGTTAAGTTCACACTCTCTGCTTTGGCGGCCAGGGTTCGTGGGTTTGGATCCCAGGGGCAGACCTACACACGGCTCATCAAGCCATGCTGTGGCAGGCATCCCACATACAAAATAGAGAAGGATGGGCACAGATGTTAGCTCGGGGCCAATCTGCCTCAGCAAAATAAAAAATTTAAAAAAAAAAACACCACAAACAGACAGCCACAAAAAATAATGGAAGGAAAGAAGTGCTAATGTTACAGGTAGGGGGTGGGATTCTGGGTAATTTAAAATTTTTCTGTTATACTTTTCTGGATTTGTCATATTTCCTACAGTGAGGATGAAAAATCAGAAAAAAAAAATTTACTAAGGATCAGATCTTGCTGGAAAAAAAAATGTTAAGCATCGATTTGACAGGCTGAGCGGGGCAGCGGGGAGCCCCAAGCCCTGGGCTGGGAGCTGCAGATCGGCCACCACGTCCCTGAGCCAGCCACTGTCAGCAAGATGGGCTGCCCTTGGCCCCGTCTCCTGAGCGGGTCTGCAGGGGCCCAGCACGCCAAGGCGGAGGCGGAGGGACAGCGGCCTAGTCTCTGGTTAGACGGGACTTTGGAAGTGACCCCAACACTGCTGAGTGGACGGAGAGTGGGGGCCGGAGGGGCTGGTTCCCTTGGGAGCACCCCGAGACTACCAGTCTGCCCTCGGTGGCCCGACCGAGGCCGGCAATTCCCATGGGAGTCCCCTTCTCGGCCCTCGTCAGCCAGGCCCTGCCCCCAAAGGCCCCTCCACAGGAGGGACTCCCGGCAGGTGAGTTTTCAGAAGAAGGGAGGCTGGGACCCAGGGGGAAACCGAGGCCCAGGAAAGGGGCGAGGCTTGCCTGGAGGCACAGTGAGTGGGGGCCCCACTGTGACTTGACCCCGACTCGGCTTCTGGTCACACGCGAGGCATTTGTCACTGACAACCTACTCTTGTTTTGATGAAAATTCTCATTCTCAGCCAGTGACATGGGGAGGGCCCCCAACCTAGAGATGAGAAAACTGGGGCCCAGAGAGGTTAAGCAACTCTCCCAAGATCACAGAGCAAATCGGTGGTGAGGATGAGACGAGAACCAGATCTGCCAGCCCCTCCTGGGGGGTGCGAGAGGATGGCCGCGGGAGTGCCACCCCTGCCACAGGGCTGCCAGAGTGTTCTGAGGAGAGTAGACGTGCCCAGCGAGACAGCGGAGGAGAGAATTAACTGGCTCCCGCTGGGTTCTCCTGGCTGCTGGCTGTCAGCGGGGCCAGCGATTGCCCCAGCAGGAGCCAGCATGGTGGAGCTTCCACCCAGGGGACAGCCAGCCACGGTGTCACCCTAGCCGGGCACAAAAGGCCACTTCCCGCCCTTGCTGGCAGAAGGGCCTGGTGACCTCTGAGCAGACGGATGGACAGAGGGTTGGCCCGGGCCGCCAAGGCTTGACTTGCCTTGAGTCACCCAGGCCTCGGTGATCCCGGGCCCCCTCGTGGACGTGGGTGTCCACACGTGGGGAACAGCTACCACCCGGCCCTGTGTGTCTCTCAGGATGAGATGGGCCCCCGAGGGGCCTGGAGCCGTCCAGGAGTCAAGGGCGCACTTGGGCCCCGGGGAGCAGGGGGTGGTCAGGATGTGAGCAGCTGTCTGACTGCCCCCAGGGAGTGGCTGGCTCAGGGAGCAGGGAGACCAGCCAGGCCAGCTCTGAGGGGCCGAGGGTCCTTGGGGCTGGGGGTGGAGAAGGGGGCACAGCGAACGCCAGGTGCTTCTCCCACCTCATCTCGGCCTCCGAGGGGCACCAGCGTCACCCCTGGGGTACAGATGCAGATGGCTGCGGCCACCTGTGGCTGCCCTCTGACCTCGTCCAAGGTAGAGAGAGGGGCAGAGGGGGTTACAGCCACGCCTGACCCCCACTGACGCCTGCATACCTTGCCACAGGCAGAGCGACAGGACATTTTGCTCTCAAGCCAGTCAGACCCCCTCCCTCCTCTCCCTACTGGAAGGGACAGCTGCCTCTCTGTTCCTGACTCCCCCAGACGTGGCCGCACTCCCACCCGTGCCCGCACTCCCACCCATGCTCCAGGCCGTTCTCAATGCTGTTCCCTCCACTGGGAAGGCCCTCACCTCCCTCCTCTGAATCCCCAGATCCTCTCCTTTCTTGTGAGGCTCTGCTCAGATGCCACCTCTTCCAGGAAGCCTTTTTTGGTTCTTCCTCGCTAAGGTTCCCTCTCTTTCCCTTTCTACCTCCTGCCGCTCCTCCTCCATCACTCGGGGCCACCTGGGGCCCCGGCGGGGTGGGGGGGGGTGGAGGGCTGTTCCCCCTTCCCCTTGGTCCCATGGCGCCGTGCTGGGCACAGGGGAGGAAGGGCACAGGAGCTCGGGGGCCCGGGTGCAGGAGGAGACCCTCCCCTGCCCAGTGGCATGGACAGGCTCCTGGGGCGGAGGTGCACCCAGCGGGCGGGCCTGTGGCTCCCATCCCCAGCGGGCTCTGGTGACGGGGGTCTGGGTTGGGGCGCGCTCCTGGGGCTGGGCTGAAGAAGTCACTGCCTGCCTGCGCCCAGCTGCCAGGAGCCCTCGGCGGCCAGCAAGGGCCTGCGTCCCGCGGCCGCCCCCCGGGCACAGCCTGTCCTCGCCCGGCTCTGGCGCTCCGGCCCCGGCCGACAGTCACGCTCCAGCAGCACCAAATTGCTTGTCATTCTTCACATGCTGCAGGCAGCTCCTCATCTTGGTGACTTTGTCCCTGCGTCCCCTCTGCCAGGATCGCACTGGCTCCCCCTGCTCCAGGTTAACTCCTCCCACCCAGGGCCTGGGGGGGACCCTGACGCCCTAGCCGGCCCTGGGAGGGTACTGACGCAGCTCCCCGTCAGTGAGCGTTCCAGGGGCTCAGTCGCTGTGCTGTCATCGCTGAGCAATGGCGCCTGGGCCTCCTGCTCCACTCTTGCCCCAGATGGCACGTCCCCAAACCCAGCCAGACGGTGACTTGCCTCCGGTCAGAATGCCCCATGACTCCCTGTCACCCCAAGGCCCCTCGGACCCCCTACTGCCCCGCCTTGCCCTGCTCTGGCCGCGCTCACTCATGCCGGCCTTCAGGCTGCACACCGGAGCCCCTTCCTTCCACCTCAGGGCCTTTGTCCTCGCTGCTCCCTGGGCCAGCCGGCTCTCTCCAGGCCGACCCTCCTCCCTCGGCCCCAGCTCCTGGGACAGCCTGCCCTCCTCACCCCTGTCTCGTTCTGGAGGACAATGACCCTGTCACCTCCCTGCCTTCCCATGGGACTGGCCTTCCTCCACCTTCCATCCCTGGCACCCACCCCGGGTCCCCACAGAGACAGCGTCCAGCAGACTCGTGCTGAATGAGTGGCTGCACGAACGTGTGCGCGACAAGGAGCCCATCCGGTCTCGGGGCGGCCGGGTCTGGTGATCTTAGATCCCTGGGGCTACTTTGGGGCTGGAGAAGTGGGGGTGGCTGCAAAGAGCCCAAGACCTCCCTCCACCCCCGCAACGCCAGCGAGGAGCAGCGCCCTGGCCATCCCCTACCCCCGGCCTCTCACACAGCCCTGAGCCGCTGGCTGCCCTGGTATCTGCCACTGGAACACCTGCTCACGGGCACAGGGACTCGCTGCCAGCGCCCAGGCTCAAGGGCAGAGGCAGAGACCATGGACCGACCCTCAGAGCTACCACCAACGGGCTGCTGGGCCAAGGTGACCCCGGCCCTGGGAGACAGTCTTTGTCCCAGAGCTGCTCCGACCCAGCCTGGTCCTCTCCAAGCTGGGCCTCGAGTTGGCTCCTTGGGACAGCCCATCAGCCTCTTGGGATGCCCTGCGCAGGCCCAGGGGTGGGTCCCTACAGAACCGTCCCGGCCCCCTATCCCCTGCCCCCAGCGGGGGGCACTCCTGAGTCCCCCTGCAGAAGGCAACGCCATGTGCACAGAGATGGGACCCTGGGCGCTGCCACCACGGCTGCCAGGCTGCTGTGCAAAGCTCCTGGGAAGGTGGTGCCCGTGTGTGCCTCTGTGCCCAGGGAGGGGAGTGTCACAGTGCCGACGGGGGCCCACAGCCAGGAGGACCCCACAGGGGTGCAGGGAGGACCCCACAGGGGTGCAAGGACTCCTCGAACTTGATGCCCACCCAGGTCCTGTTGTCTCCTGGCCCACCGACCAAGGTCGCCCAGTGGAACGATCGCCCACCCCATGGCCTCAGGTGACACGGCTGCTCCGCTGCTCCCTCCCACCCAGAGACAGGAGACAGGAGACGCTGAAGGAAAGGCTTCACCTTGCCCCATCTTATCAGGCGGCTGCAGCCCTGCTCCTGCTGCCCCCTCTCTCTGCAGAGGCAGAGCCATGTGCCGGAAACTGGCGGCGCTGATGCCTGGTGAGCCCTTGGTCGGTGGGCACACCCAGGGGCGCCCTGGGCTGGGGCAAAGCAAGGCAACGCAGGCAGGTGGACAGGGCAGTTGCAGAGTCACCCCTGGGCCTTTGCACATGCTGCCCCTCCTGCTCAGGACACCCCTTTCCCTGCTCTTAGTTCACTCTATTCACCTCCTCCAGGAAGCCCTCCTAGACCTACTGCTGGGTCAGGAGCCCTCTCCACTGTCCCTGTCCCAGCTCTACAGGGAACAGGGTGCTCTTTGGGTGCAGGGGCTGTGTCTGCTCCTCCTCCTCAGGGTCCCAGCACCTGGTGCGGGGCAAGGCACATGGCAGGGCCTGATGGCTGTGTGCTGGAGGTGCCCC